ATCGCACCTTCCGTTATCTAAGTAAATATGAATCTATATAATGAATAACGATATACAAATAACACGGAATTTAGGATATTATGTCTCCACGTCACCTTGGTATCTGCGGCTCGAAAGCGCCATGTTCCAGCATTCGGTCGCCTCGTCCATTACGGAGGACGAAGTACGCCATTCACGTCGGATCAGATCGTTCTATGGATCAGGTCGAGAAGGCGTCCCCGGCGTTCGCCACGACGATCTCCACGCCGCGGCGCGGCCTCGTACTGGCCCCGTATCTGGTCGCGGGTTGGCGCTGCCGCCGCTGTACGACGCACAAGCCTTCAGCGCATGCGCTTGTGGGGTAGCGGATCTTCCGCGGCTCTCGCCTCGATCTGCCTGCGCGGAGTTCGCGCGTCGGGCGGGACAGCACGACATCGTGCGCGGCGGCGCGCTCGTGTCCGCGTCGTGTCGTCTGGACTATCTATGGTGACGAAAGGCCTGGAACGGAGGAACTGCGCGTCTGTCCCCGTGCCCGTCTTGCGGATCCCGATCAAATCGAGGCCCTGGAGGAGAGCATCGCCACGCCGGCGCCTGCAGATCGGGGCTCGACGATCGACACCGCTCGCGCAGACTTGTTAGGATGTGCGCCGTGGTGTTTGGAACGCCGCTGCCGAACGTCGAGACCGGCTCGTCGTTCCGGGATCCTGGGCGGCCGCTCTGGTCTCGTGAGGTCCGCGAGATGTGTTGTGCTCGCGCCGGCGGGAACTCGGCGACGTCCGCCTGGCCGCATGTCGCGACGTTCGTTGTCCTCGACGTAGAAGTTCTTCGTCACCGTTCCGTAGTTCACGGTTAACTGGCTCCTGCATGCGCCCAGCTGTCCGGCGTGCAGTCTGGCTACCAGTTGATCGTTCGCGTGCGCGTCCGGGGCGCGACGGCCGCGCTCGCCGCGTAGCGATTATACGACCTTCACTTTCCTCGTTGTGAGAGTGCGGATCATTTACTTCGCCTTCTTGAATGCCTCAGTCAGCGCTACCGACTTAGGTTCGACGGGGTCGACCACTCGTCCTCGTCGTCGGCACCGCGCACCTTGTTACGCGCACGCCGCACACGTCCCTGGATCTCTCGGATCTTGCAGCCCGGCGCGTCGGATCCCCTTGCCGACGTTACTTGTTGCCGACGGCGACCGTTCTCCCTCTCGTCCGCCGCCGCCGCCGTCGTTCAGGCCCCTGCGTTGTTTCGGCCGAGCAGCGTTCTTCTCGGCGCCAGCGTCTTCCGGCCGCGCGCGTTGTTTCTCGTGCTGCGCGAGGGTTGTCTTGAAAACTGTTCGCTCCAGGGAGGTCTTCGATGAGGAATCTGCGCGAGATCCGTCGACCTCGGAGCTCCGGAGAGTTCGACCGGGCGTTCTCGCGTCCGACGATCCTACGTATCTGGCTATTCGCGCGCCGGAACTATCCTCGACGTTCTCGGATCTTTCGAACACGGCCTTTCCCAACCGATGATAAGGCCAGCTTCGGCGTTGTTAACCATCAGTGTCGACGGGGACTGCCTCCCGAGTGCCTCCTGCCAAGGCTCTCCATCTCTGTGACGGGAAAGAACACAAAAATTATGCCCGCGAAAAACTCGCACATATGCGTATGCCAAGAAATCTGAGGATAATAAAACGCAATTTTTGGCAGTTTTGTGATTAGAATAGCACGGTCCTCCACAAAGTGAAACTATTTATAAACCATTATGGGGCTTCTTGATTTACATTAATGAGAACTTGATTACTCCTAATTTTGCATTCTTCACTCCTTCCCTAAAAAACATACATACCTATTTTCCCGCACCTCTGGCCCAGAGATTGAATTATTTCCGATCCAGTTTTGTTCCACGTTACCATTGTTCACAAGTAAATGTCATTATATATAGTTCGTAACAAGCAACTATATACTACTACAGTGAGGAGAACTGTCTTCTATCATACTGAACTGCGTTAATTTAATCCATAGATTAAAGGACATATATACATGCTAACAGAAAAAAATTTGCAAAAATGTGCGACTTTAAAAAAGTAGATTTTTACTGTCATCTTCTGCAGGACACAGTAGCCATTCCCCCCCCACAATTCCCGACCCCTAGTAGTTATCTATACCTGATGAATTTCCTGGTTGACCCCTATCACGCCAATGATGTTACCAACGGATCTGGCCTTCACGAGAACCAGCTATTTTGCATGCGTGGTTGTGCATACGACTATAAGCGGATATTGCTGGCTTGTCGAGGTAACTTTGTACCGTTCATGGTGGCATCCGGGTCTCTGCACCCCAGTCTTTCTTCCAAATCACACATCTTGATGTGGCCTGCAAAGCAAAACTCTTACCTCTGTATGCTTAGCCGCCACACTAATCCGACCGAGCGCATGTGAAGGCTTGACGATTGGATCGAGATGTTCTGAGTTTGAGCTCGCGGGGCTTACAGATTGGCCTCGGGAGGTCATTTTGGCGCCGATTCAGAATTTTGAATCGGGAGAGTATCGGGATCGAATAGTGTGCGAGGGCTTACGACGCGACTCGGATTAGTGTGCGTAGGCCATCCGACCCGATCGACGACGGCGCTGAGGAAATGACCAATCACAGAGCTGCGCCATGGAAAACCGCATTCGAATGAATGGCATCGGAACCATCCGGAAACACTCCCGACGCTTTAGTACACGCTAAATCCGCTTGGAACGCCACGAGAGTGCCTATGGTAGTGCCGTCAACTTGAGTCGGAAGTGTGCGGTGGCCGTCCCCGATCGAATCAGGATCGGGTGGATAGTGTGCGGAGGCGTTCGTGCCTGTGACAGTGCACAAAGTCGGATAGTGTCGGCTAGCATAGTGCGCGCTAGCATTTAGTTAGCTTTATACTCCTAAGTAGACCACCTCATAAAATCGTAGTGTACATTCCGTTATCGTACCAGTCTGCAGTGACAAGGTCAATGCAATTCGCAATGTCTTTCCCTTCATGATTACTACCCTCCCCCCCGCGGCGCCATTGCGTAGGTGCTCTTTCACTTAAGTAAACGGTCATAGACTTCATGAGCATCATACAGACTAGACTGACTAGGTAGTAGCGATGCTGATCGCTCGCGCCATTATGTCTAGATTTCAAGCAACCATATTTTCAGTATAAGTCAATGTAGCTACTTTCAGAAGACGTAACTTTTTAATAATATATCATATTATGAAAAAACAAAACATTTGTGGTTCTAGATGAAGAAGGCCTCAACCCGTTTATCGTTATTTATTTTCAGAATTTTTACCTGTAACCGTTTCTTAGATAGAAACGTGGCCTAAAACCCAACCAAAAACGTAAACGGGCTAGCCAGCCGACCTGGCATGAAGCGCGCGGCCACCAAATTTTATCGAACGGGCCCCAACTTGAGCCTCTTGGGGCAGTTATAAGAATCATCTAATATCACTTTTATTGGATATTAATAATGTAGACCATAGCTTAACTGTTTATCTGTAAGGTGTTTCTTTTCTGTTAAAATAGTTAGATCATTGGTTGAAAATTGTATTCATTTAAAAATCAAAACGCTTCCAGAATCAAACTTCCCGACATCGTTGAAAAAGAAAACACCCAACCATTACAATCCTCATTCGTTGATCATATTTAGATACGTCATCATAACAAATTGAAAAAAACAGTTTCTTATACTGCCCCAAAATCAATTTGTAAAACTATCGCGTGGCATTACAGCTAGTGTGATCAATAAGGGCGTAAAGCGTTTTTGCTGATTGGCTGAATCGGACATGGGTCACGCGTTTCTTTCAGTGTGGTAATAGACTTGTTACCTGTTCACCACTGACGCGTTAGTGTTAGCGTGTGGAACTGATCGACGGGTACCAGTCTTACGTCGGTAACTGCATGAAGCGCATAGTGTCAGCCTAAACGTTAGACGCGTGGATTAGCATGTCGCATATATTTATTATTCTTTAGCGTGTTCCTCTGCAATTTTATCACACATGTACACAAAGATAGAACGCTTATAATAGTTGATATTAGTTCTGGTAATGCAAGTGAGTTTGCTTGAACGAAAACATGACTGATATGAAGGTCAAAAAATGAAACAAACTGAACTAGTGGTGAAACTTTTCTAGTTGACTGAACTCGGTTACTGATTAGTTTAATATAATTAATTATCTATCAATGCCATTATAGATGCCTTTGTGCCAGAATTAAAATGGAAAAAGCAACTTACAATTAACTGGCTCTTGGTTTTATAGATGCTCTCATAAACGGTGTCTCAACTGCATAGTATCAACTGTTTCACGACAATTACTTTTTGGTATTTACTCCACGTTCTTTCGTTTCTGTCCATAATTAATTATATTCATACAATTTTCATGTAATTGCCTCTTACATATGATACATACTGTGTTTACTATGCACTATAGTATGCGTATTCTTGGAGCCTATAAGTAGGAAAATTATTTCATTAAATTCATTTCGATTTGTAATTTTACATTTTCTCCCCCAAAATATGATGTCCATATATACAATTCCTTGCACACGTTACATGCATTTACTGAACATATTCACATACTATGTGCTCCTGACATTTACCTATATAAATCTTATATTAATCTAGCAGACAGTTGAAACTATTTTAATTTGAACCCAGACGAAACTACGTTTGTTACGGAAAACGGCCGCAGCTGAAAGTTGTACTTTTCGAATTTTCAATTTTCCTTTCAAAATTTGACTTCAAGTATAAAATAATGGGTCGTCATTAAATGTAATTTTCTTTCAGCAAACCTGCTGTAAGGATGCATTTCTACCAGTGGCATACAACTTGCTCAGTGGGGTAGGTAGAAGCAGAACCCTTAATTAATTTTACCTCAAAATTGGAGAGGAAATTGCTCAAAAAATGTCGCGTGCCGCGCTGATACAAAAACATAAATCGCTGGTATGCGAGCTATATTCAGACACTATAAAAGGGCGAAGGGCGTCTTCCAGATTGCATGTTAATTAGTCATTTATATAACAGTCATATCCTTATTCAACTGACGAAAGTTATATGGCCGTGTATGAATTATTTACTTTGCAAATTTGTACGAACAAATCATACGCGCGGCTTTAGAACACACATTCGGAAAATAGGGCCTGAGGGAAATATAACCAGCGACGTTACTAATCGCGGAATAGCTTCCTAAACCCTATAAACCAAATCATGACAGATTCAAGTATCACTGTAATCTACATGGCTGCCAGAATTCATCAAGTGGCTGCTATTTTATTGGGCTCTACTCTTATCTGAGAAAATTTTTCGACAGTATCCCTACGAGTAGTAGTACTGGTGGATTGAATGTTACTGTTACTGTTAGCCTGTAGTACTTAGTACGTATTACACATCGTTTGGACATGCATACAGTGTAACATACGTGTGGCAGAGCCAACAAGGGTCGTATACTTATTACAGGCTACAGCTAATGAGCTTAGCAACAGTCAAGTGCTATTCGCCATGACTTTGACCACACGCCACACCGGTCAGGTAACCATTGCCATTGGCTGTGAGGTGTGAGTGTCAAAGTTAATAAGGGCCTACTTATGTACTACAGTATACATGCGTGCCGTAAAGTATCAGGACAAATTTTACAGAGACATTGTACAAAGAAACTATATGCTGCACCTACTTACTGATAAGTACTTGGCATCGGCAAGACATAATTATACATCTACTGACGAACTACTGGCATACGAAGAATATTTTGTGTATCTCTGATCAGGGCGCCACATCGGACGTTGAGATGCTTGGTCTCAGAGGGTTGTGCGGGAATTTAATACTTGGTGTTTTATTTGCATGCTGTTAGCACTGACATGCGCCTAAATGCAATACATCTGTAAATTATATTAAGTAAGCGCTATATTCAGTTTGATTTGGATTTTGGGAGCTAAAATTATTTGCGCTATGCATCAGCGAAGCTGAATCTACATGTTCCGTTGTTCTAATCATCGCCTACCGGAATGTTACTAAACAAGATCAAGACGGAGTTTATGCGGATGCGTCTAACGCAGGTAATTTGACGTCTTGGTACTTGTAGCATCTCATACATGTACATGATCTTTCGTATGTGAACTCTCTTCCTTCTGCGCTTTAGGTTAGTATTAAAAAACGGAAACTTTTTCTATCCACTATTACCTATTGCATGTGTCTAGCGATTTGTCCCGATTCCCTTGCAGACTGTACATTGTTATCGAGCCAGGACTACGAGAACATGGGTCCGCAATAAAACCAATTTGCGCTAACGACTAACCTAACCATAACTCTACCATAACCCTAACTATTATATTGATATTAGATATTTATATATTTGATGTAAATGACAGTTGGTTTTATTTAGGACGCCTGTTCTCTATCCTTGAAACCGACGTACGTACGTGGATGTAGGGCCTACTATAATTATGATACATATCGTATGGCTAGCTATACTAGTCTAAACCAGACCAGGGCTCTCCGATGTTAGCACGTCGTAGTCCTCTCTCCGCCATACGTAGTGTTAAGTAAGAAGGGAACTTGTGCTACGGCGTAGCTACTACTATTGTACTCCGACACCTTTTCTGACACGTATAGTTATACAGTCTCTTAAAGCACAATACTAGTACTGGCTGACTAGGGTCATGTCCCAGGGGTACTGCTGGAAGAGCGTACCGCTCGGGGTACGTCTGTGTATACCGTAACGTACGGCCTGAATACAGAATACTTCTATCTAATCATGACGGACCGTACCTGCCGACTCACTAAACGAGTCTAGGGAGTCAGCCTACTCCGTAAGCCCTACCTGACCCTAACCAACGCCCTAACCCTAACCCTAACTTACCCTAACCATCTAAACATCTAACCTCTAACCATATCAGATAGATAGTTTATCAGGAGGTACCGTTCCGGTATAAGGACCGGACCGACCCACCCAGGGTACGTTCCGGCAGTACCCTGGGGGACATAGACCCTATCAGCACTAGTACTAGTTGCAACAACAAGCCTTAATTAAAACAAGTCACCCATGATGTAAAATGTTAGAATTATGACACCAATTAGCTGTACAAAACTAGTGAATTAATACACTGAGTGTTCCACCAATAGTGCAACACAGAACACTCACTTCCTCTGTGATTGTAATAATGTAAACATTCACCCACATGCAACTCGGGTCACTGCCTCTCCTTGTGAGTATTTTGGAACGCTGCGTTCCATCTCCTCTCAAACACTTGCCGATGCTATCTCTTCTTCAAAACACTCGCCAATGCTGCCTCTACACTCATTCACTTGCCAACACTGCTTCTCCTTCTGAACACTTATCAAAAGTGCATTTCCTTTTGATTATTTGCCAACATTATCAGGGTTCGAATTTCGGCTGAAATTCTAGTGGACAGCGGGACCAGCAACTTCAGAAAGCTGGTGGTCCTGCACAAAAGTTGGTGGTCCGCTTATTTATTACCAGTGAGTAACAAAATGGTATATAAAAATAACCATTAACAGCATACATGTAACTGAGTTACCTAATGTTCAACTTTATTGGTGTAGCACTTGGGTGGCCGAATAACACAATACACATAGACCTGGGACAGGGATGTGCCTGCGGTAGCCAAACTAACTTGACTTACCACGTAGAGTTGGTCAAATAATGGTATTATATTTCAAGCTCTAGGAATGTCGGGGGAGCTTCTGGGAAAGTTTTACTTTCGTTTTTCTCCTCCCCAGTCCTCGGTACCCCCATACGTAGATCAATGCAGCCGCACATCCTCAAAGTTACAACTGCCTAGAATCTTTAAGTATACTAGCTGGAACCCGTGCTAAGCGCGGGCTTAGTGGCTGTGATGCATGTGTTACCAGTAGTGTTATGTGTAAGTTGTTAGTTGTTACAGTCTCTCTCTCTCTCTCTGTCTCTCTCTCTCTCTCTCTCTCTCTCTCTCTCGCTCTCTCTCCCTCTCCCTCTTCTAAATCTGCAGACCATCGCACCGCTCGCTCGCTCTCCTCCAGTCCTCACGCAAGACGAAAGAGATGGCGCTCTCACCATGTCTCTCCCTTCCCCCTCGCTCCTTGTCTCTCTCTCACTCTTTCTCCCTTCTCCCTCCCTCTCTCTCCTCTCCCACTCACCTCCAGTCCTCGCGCGTCACGAAGGAGATGGCGGTACCGGTGGCGCCGGCGCGGCCCGTGCGTCCGACGCGGTGCACGTAGTCCTCGATGTTTCGCGGGAAGTCGAAGTTGAGCACGTGCGTGATGTCGCGCACGTCGAGGCCGCGCGACGCCACGTCCGTCGCTATCAGGATGCGCACATCCGAGTTCTTGAACTCGCGCAGCGCCGTCTCGCGGTCCTCCTGCTCGCGGTCGCCGTGGATGCTCTGGCACGCGACGTCCATGAGCGCGAGGTCGCTCGAGAGGTCGTCGGCCTTCACCTTCTTGCCGACGAAGACGAGGAGCTTGTCGTCGGGGGCCATTGCCGCGATGAAGTCGAGGATGCGAGACTTCTTCTCGCTCTCGGGGACCATCTCGACGATCTGCGTGACGTCGTGGCACGCCGCCAGGTCCAGCGTGTTGATGAAGACCTGCGAAATTAGGTATTTTTAAATTAATTTGAGATTGTCATGTTAAACGATTTTTTTGTAATTGAATTTTAATTATTTTCGATTAGTTATTGATTCAAATTAGGTATCTTAAAATTAATTTGAGATTATTATGTTAAATCATTTATTAAATAATGATAATAACGATTTTTTGTAATTGAATTTAAATTGTTTTTGATTATTCATTGATTAAAATTATTAAGTTATTTATTGATTTCAATTAAAAATATTATGGCTGGAAAATACAGTTAATTATCTTGCAGATTAATCGAGGAAAGTACAGGTAATCTACGTTAAATTAATCAAGAAAAGTACAAGTAATCTATGGCGAAAAAATTCTGAAAATTTCAGGTAATCTACGGTAGATTAAAGCGATCATTGCGAGTTTTTTTCAGCGTTTTTCAGTGTTTATTCTCACTCTCATGATGCCTATCTTTGTTGCTTGAGTAACAGTAATTGTTTGAAATAACAATAAAATGTCTTAGAACCTCATGCAAAGACAAAATCATGCACGATTACAATTTTGCGTTCTCTTGTCGATTTTCGCTGTCATGTCTCGTGATACCGCGAGACGTCAACAAGCGTGCAGTAATGCAAAAATCGCACCGGAGATATTTTTGGTCAGATGTAAACACAGAGGTCCATAGTATTAGTAGCGTAACACAAACAGGAGTGTACGGTAAGTTGTACCCTCATAAATATTAGTCTTCAAAAGTCCTAGGGACTATAAGTATAACGAAGACGGAGAGAGAAGTGGATCAAATCGATGTATCAACACTGCGGATTATCACACACAAATAGATGCCCCTTTGTTTTAATTATGTTCGCTTGTTTGAGACGCCATTTGTGATTTTTGAAAGTCGTGACACGAAAAAATTTATTGCTGGTATGATGTGGTCAAATAAATTTTTCTATGCTATAACTGCATAAAATCTTGGTGTTTTGAATGTTGGTGTAATCAGTGATATTTTCGCTGTCAGGTGAGACTATATTCAGCTATATTTAGTTTTTTTTGAGCAAAATTCTCGCAATACTCGTTTTAACAGCGAAAAGTACGAGCAATCCCACAGTGAATTAATCCTGAAACTTACACGTAATCTATGGTAGATTAACAACGAAAAGTACGAGCAATCCAATGGTGAATTAATCCTGAAAATTACAGGTCATCCACGGTAGAGTAACCGTGAACCGGCAGAGTAAACCAGTGCCACACTCACCTGCATTGGGTTCTTCATGTACTGAGTTGCGAGCCGTCGCACGTTCTCTGGCCAGGTGGCGCTAGTCATGACCGTCTGCCGGTCAGGTCGCACGTCGATCATCACCTTGAAATACGCTCATCATATTTCACGACCGCCGTAAAAGTCTGTTTAATTTATGTAATTAATGGTGTTATTAAGTAATGTTAAGTAATGCTATTTAATTTATGGCGGCAAGCATTAGTTTACGCAACTTCGTGCGGCTCAATGAATTTACTTTGCGACAACTGGAAGCATCGCTGAAACTGTCGGGTTGAATGAACATTCGTCGGAAGATAAATTTTATGATAATAATAGTATACACATAATACAACTTAATAATATAATATTATAATAATATAAATTTCAGAGTCACCTTCCATATCGAGTAAATATGAATCTCATAATAATAATATATAATAATAGTATACATATACAATACAGTGATCTTATATAATGTCTCCGATCGTCACCTTCCGTATCTAGTAAATATGAATCTTATAATAATAATTATACAAATAACACGATATAGTGATATTATGTCTCCGATCGTCACCTTGCGTATCTGCGGCTCGAAGCCCATGTCCAGCATGCGGTCAGCCTCGTCCATTACGAGGTACGAGACGCTCTTCACGTCGATCAGATCGTTCATGATCAGGTCGAGCAGGCGTCCCGGCGTCGCCACGACGATCTCCACGCCGCGCTCGACGGCCGCGATCTGGTCGCGGCGGCTGCCGCCGCCGTACACGCACAAGCAGCGCATGCCGCGGTAGCGGATCTTCCGCGCCTCCGCCTCGATCTGCTGCGCGAGTTCGCGCGTCGGCGACAGCACGAGCATCGTCGGGCCGGCGCGCTCGTTCCGCGGTGTCGTCTGACTCTCTATGTGCACGAGGCCTGGAAGGAGGAACGCCAGCGTCTTCCCGGTGCCCGTCTGCGCGATCCCGATCAAATCGAGGCCCTGGAGGAGAATCGGCCACGCCTGCGCCTGGATCGGGCTCGGACGATCGAACCGCTGCGCGAGAACTTGTTCGAGGATGTCGCCGTGGTGTTGGAACGCCTGCTCGAACGTCGAGACCGGGTTCGGGATCGGGCGCCGCTCGGTCTCGTGTAGGTCCGCGACGATGATGTTGTTGCTCGCGCGGCGGAACTCGGCGACGTCCGCCGGCCGCATGTTCGCGACGTCGTTGTCCTCGACGTAGAAGTTCTTCGTCACCGTTCCGTAGTTCACGTACTTCTCCGCTTGCATGCGCGCACTGTCGGCGTGCAGCTGGCTCCAGTTGATCGTTCGCGGCGCGTCCGGGTCGCGATCGGCCGCGCTCGCCGCGTAGTCGATATACGACTTCGACTTTCCCTCGTTGGTGAAGTCGCGGATCATCTTCTTCGCCTTCTTGATGCCGTCAGCGCTACCTACTAGGTCGACGGGTGTCGACCACTCGTCCTCGTCGTCGCCGCGCACCTTGACGCGCACGCCGCACACGTCCTGGATCTCTCGGATCTTGCAGCCGGCGCGTCCGATCACCTTGCCGACGTCCTTGTTGCCGACGTCGACCGTCTCCCTCTCGTCACCGCCGCCGCCGTCGTTCCAGCCCCTGGCGTTGTTTCGGCCGCCAGCGTTGTTCTGGCCGCCAGCGTCGTTCCGGCCGCCGGCGTTGTTCTCGTAGCTGCGCGAGTTGTTTGACTGTTCGCTCAGGAGGTCTTCGATCGAGGATCTCGCGAGATCCGTCGCCTCGGAGCTCCCGGTGAGTTCGACGGGCGTTTCGTCGCCGTCCGAGCGATCCTTACATATCTGTATTCGCGCGCCGGAACTATCCTCGAGTTCTCGGATCTTCGAACCGCCTTTCCCGATGATAAGGCCCAGCTTCCGGTTGTTAACCATCAGTGTCACGGGGACTGCTCCCGAGTTCCTCTGCCAAGCTCCTCCATCTCTGTGAGGGAAAGAACAAAAATTATGACGCGGGAAAATCGACATATGCTATGCCAAGAAATCTGAGGATAATAAAATGCAATTTATTGGTTTGTGATTAGATAGCACGTCCATCAAAAGTGCAAACTATTTATAACCATTATGGGCTCTTGATTACATTAATGAAACTTGATTACTCCTCATTTTGCATTCATCACTCCGTTCCCTAAAAAACATACATACCTATTTTCCCGACCTCTGGCCCCAGAATTATTCCATCCATTTTGTTCCACGTTACCTTGTTCACCAAAGTAAATGTATTATTATAGTTCGTACAAGCAATAATACTATACAGTGAGAGAACTTGTATTCTATATACTGAACTGGTTAAATTTAATCCATAATTTTAGAAGACATATATACATGCTAACAAAAAAAAATTTGCAAAAATGTGGACTTTAAAAAGTAGATTTTTACTGTCATCTTTCTGCAGGACAAGTAGCCATTCCCCCCCCCCCAATTTCGACCCCCTAGTATTGATCTTACCTGTGAATTCCTGTTGACCCCTATCACGCCATGATGTTTCGACGATCTGGCCTTCACGAGACCAGCTATTTTGCACTGGTGGTTGTGCATACTGACTATAAGCGGGATATGCTGGCTGTCGAGTAACTTTGTACCGTTCATTGGTTGGATCGGTCTCTGCACCCCAGTCTTCTTCCCAATCACACATCTTGATGTGCTGCAAAGCAAACTCTTACCTCTTAGTCTTAGTTAGCTTGTATACTCCTAAGTAGACACTCTAAAATCGTATACATCCCGTTTACGTACCAGTGGCAGTGACAATGTCAATGCAATTCGCAAATGTCTTTCCCTTCATGAGTACTACCCCCTCCCCCCGCGGCCATTGCGTAGGCTGCTCTTTGTCACTTAGAAACGGTCATAGACTCATACATCAACAGACTAGACTGACTAGTAGTAGTACTGGTTGGATTAATGTTACTGTTAGCTGTAGTACTTAGTACTATACACATCGTTGGACATGATACAGGTGTAACATACGTGTGGCAGAGCCAACAAGGGTCGTAGTACTTAGTTACAGGCTACAGCTAATGAGCTAGGCAAGTCAAGTGCTATTCGGCATGACGTTGACCACACGCCACACGGTCAGGTCAACATTGCCATTGGCACTGTGAGTGTGAGTGTCAAAGTTAATAAGGGCCCGTACTTATTTATTACTACAGTATCATGCGTATGTAAAGTATAGGACACAATTTTACAGAGAACATTTACAAAGAAACTATTGCTGCACCTACTTACTGATAAGTACTTGCATCGGCAAGACTAATTATACATCTACTGACGAACTATGGCATAGAAGATATTTTGTGTATCTCTGATCAGGGCGCCACAATCGGACGTTGAGATGCTTGAGGTCTCAGAGGGTGTGCGGGAATTTAATTACTTGGTGTTTTATTTTGCATGCTGTAGCACTGACATGCCGCTAAATGCAATACATCTGTGAATTATTTACATAAGGCTATATTCAGTTTGATTTTGGATTTTGGAGCTAAAATATTTGCGCTATGCATCAGCGAAGCTTGAATCTACATTTCCGTGTTCCTAATATCCCTACCGGAATGTACTAAACAAGAGTCAAGACCGAGTTATGGCGGATGCGTCTAACGCAGGTAAATTTACGTACTTGTACTTGTACATCTCATACATGTACATGATCTTTCGTATGTGGAACTCTCTTCCTTTCGCTTTAGTTAGTATTAAAACGGTAACTTTTTCTATCGCTATTGCCGTATTGGCAGTGTTCTAGCGATTGTGCCCATTCCCCTTGGCAGACTGTACAGTGTACGGCCCAAGGATAGAGAACATGGGTCCCAATAAAACCAATGTGCCTAACCCTAACCATAACCATAACTCTAACCATAACCCTAACCTATTATATTGATATAATATTATATTTATATTGATGTAAATGACATTGGTTTTATTAGGACCCATGTTCTCTATCCTTGAACCGACTGTACTGTGACTGTAGGGCCTATATAATTATAATATACTGTAGGCCTACCGTAGCTACTAGTGCTAAACCGACCAGGCTCTCCGACTGTTACACGTCGTAGGACCTCTCGCCAACGTAGTGTTAAGAAAGAAGGGAACTTGTGGCTGCGTAGCTACTAGTACTACACCTTTTCTACACGTATAGTTATACAGTCTTCAAAAGTCACAATACTAGTACTGCTGATAGGGTCTATGTCCCCCAGGGTACTGCCGGAACGTACCCTGGGTACGGTCCTGTATACCGTAAACCGTACCCTAGATATAAATACTTCTATCTAATATGACGACCGTACTCGCGCGACTCCCTAACGAGTCTAGGGACGGTTGCCATATGCTACTCCCTAACCCTAGCCCTAACCCTACCCTACCCTAACTCTACCTAACCCTAACCCCTAACAACTACCCCTAACGCATTCGCTAGATAGTTATCGGGTCGTTCCGGGTGGGTATACCGGACGTCCCTGGTACGTTCCGGCATTACCTGCAGCGGGTTCTCCCCAGGATGAAATTCACAGCGGAGGGGAGGGCGTAGAGGAGGGAGGGGGGAGGGGAAACTAGGGGGGGGGAGAGGGGGGAAACTAGGGCGGCGTCGGAAGAGAGGCGTGTATTTTTATCGTACGACTAATTAATGCCGTATTAAATCGCCCCCACACCATAGCGCGTATTTGGCGTTCTTCTATATATAAGAGGGCCGAGTCGCGTGTACAGTTAGCGAACAGGTACTGTGCATTGTTAGGTTAACTTGTGTAACTGTCTTCAGTGCTCGCGTTGCGTGATAAATTACACGCGCGGATGTCCTGTTTGTTGTGTGTTGGTTATGAACTTGCACTTCTGACGACCGATCTGTCTGTTGTGGCTTTGCAACTTTTTTGTGGTGGAATTTAACGCGCGCGCACCGATTCAAATCGGGAGGGAGATTTCCAACGGGGCGCACGATTCAACAGGGCGGGGAGTTTTCCAACGGTGCGCCTTTTGCGCACGTAGGGGGAGAACCCGCGGGGGACATAGACCCTATCAGCACTAGCTAGTTTGCAACCACGCCTAATAGGGGACAAGTCACGCGCATGATGTTAAAGAGTGTTGTAGGTGTGTTTGACCCAATTAGCTGTACAAAAATAAGTGATTAATACACTGGTGTTTCACATAAGTGCCAACAGACACTCCTTCTCTGTGTTTTTTTTTTTGTAAACATTCACCACATGCACCTCGGCGTCATGCCCTCATTGTGCGTATTTTGGACGCGTGCGGCCCCGTCTCGGCTCTCTCTCAACAGCTTGCGATGCTTCATCTCTTCTTCAACACGCGCCACTGCCTGCCTTACCCCTATTCCTGCTTTTTTTTTCTGACACTTATCATATTTTTAGTTGCATTTCCTTTTTTATTTGCAACACCATTATCAAGGTTCGAATTTCGGCTGAAATTTCTTTTTTGGGGACCAGCAAACCGTTGTCGTAAGCTGGTGAGTCGCTGCAACAGTTGGTGGTGTCGCTCTTTTACTACCGTGTGGTTTAGTAACAAACTGTATATAAATTTTTACTGTAACTGAGTTACCTATGTTCAACTTTTATTGCGTGCTTAGCCTTGGCGTGGATTTTTTTTTCCGAATGACACTTTGTTTACCATTTGTGTGTGGGGGATCGTGTCCTGCCGGTAAGCCCAAACTGGTAACTGACTTACACGTAGAGTTGTTTTTTGGTTTATCTTTCAGCTTAGGATGTGGGCGGAGCTTCTGGGAAAAGTGTTACTTTTGTTTTTCTCTCCCCAGTCCGTCGGGGGGTACCCTACGTGTAGATCATGCTGCCGCACGTCCTCAAAGTTGCTCAATTGCTAGATCTTTAAGTGGACTGCTGAACCCGCGCTAATGGCGCGCCGGCTTAGTGGGCCTTGTTGATGATGTGTTACCCGTATTTGTTAGTGTTATTTGGTTAGTTGTTACTGTGGTTTTTATGGTTGAGTGATACATGTCAATCTTTGGCTGTGAGTTGTCATTAGTGAAATTACACAACTTTTGCACGCACGCACGCACGCACAGCACGCACAATTCGCCAACTAAATTAAGTATGTAGCAGTTTGTTGCTTCTAGATATCGAACTGAATAAATAGTTCCACTTCACTAAAGAAAAGTAACGAATTCAAGTCACGATAACCCTGCGGACAGTAGGAAACTTATTACTTATGCCGTTACGCCATAAAACACTCGTTTCCAACATGCGGCATTGCCGCAATTTGAACTTTTTCACGGTCGCGGTTTGTGTTGTTATGGCGAATCATGAGTTGGGACTACTTGGGATACTTTTTTTTTTTTCCCATTCAGACGGAGAGTATTAGGCATACGCTTCCCGCGTATTACGATGAAGTTCTGGGGTCTACAACCGGGCGGACCGTCCCATTGCGTAACCGTTAGTATTTTCGAAGCATAATGGGGTGAGGGGGAAATTGCCGGTCAGGAGGACCGGCATTTCGATAGAGGGTGGCTTGGCGCGAGCCGAAACTTGGTGGCCTCGGGCTCGGGTCGGCCACCAATTTCGACGCTGAACATTATCCTCGTCACCGAAGTAGGTGTAGGCTCATTACATATTAAGTAATGCAGGTATACAGAATCTATAATACTTTACCAATTATTGTGATGACGAATGAGTGGAGACGTGAAATGAGTAGACATCAGGGGCGTCTTGTCAGGAAACAATTAGTCTTAACATTAACTTAAAAAATTAATTTTTCTCCCCCTTGGTTAGAGCCGCTTGGACCGAGAAACCCCCTATTTTTTTTCGGTAAATTAGCGGAATTAACATTCTTGTACTTTTCTTTACTTATGCGGATCATACCCTCTTTAGGAGATCTCCACGTTTGCGCCAAGGGATTGCTCTGTGAGCACCATTAAACCCCCCCCGGTTTAACATTGGCGAATGATTCGATCGATCACTTGTTTCTATTTATAGAGGGCCAGGATATTTATTCTTTATGCTCAAGCCAAAAAAATTTCAGAAATTTCCACACTAAGTTATGTTACCAAACATATTTTGAATTTTTATGTAAAAAATGATATTTGGCTATTTATCACTACCAGACGGCAGTGCGCGATACAACATTTTTTGCCACCATGTAAGCCACATATGGACAAAATAGCCCATCCAGCGATTTTTCTTTAATTTACATATTTTACCGACGAACACTCGAAATAAACTGCTTAAAAATCTAAGTTCATGTGTAAAATAGAATTTAGCGATAAAGAGGTCATAACTAATACAGTAAGGCCACTTATTAAGCCAACCCTGCGGGCTTTTTCTTACCACAATGTTCATCATTAAACGAGTGTAAAATTATTATAATCCTCAGTTGTATCACAGCAGAAATATCCATTATACTCCAGGCTACTGATGTCAGAAAATCGCAACAGAAGAAAATCAGCCGTTTTTCTATTTTCTCCACAATGAGTGACCGCCTGTGTAAAATGGTTTAAGTAGTTATATCTATTAGGCGTATTACTGACGACATCATCTGACTGAACTGACACCAGTAAATTGCGTACATTTCCAGCACCTGAGAATTGTAATTACGAGCGTTACCATCGCAAGAACGCTCTTACTCATCGCGAACTCGTCATCTGACGTCAAAAAAGCTATAATGTCAACCAAGCGTCGCGCGTGTCGGCCACTAGTTAGTCGAAGGGCTAGTGTGGTTGGCGAGGTGTCTAGAACTTATTTGAGGCATGGCGATACTTGGTTGATACTAGCAGATGTACATGATGTACATATACATGTATGACAGCTTGTAGGCATGGTTGACGCCGGGGATACCGGCCTTAGTTAATATCGTGGTTGGTATCAATGTTTCTGACGTCATAAATGGCGTTAGCCACTGCTTACTACACCATGTACGGCGGCAAGCAAAAACGCTCTGACAGTTCACAGTACCGTAATATGGAAATGAGCATGTTTCATGTGGCAAATAGTAGTGTTAAGCCATGAATAAAGTTGAAAACGAAAAATCGATGAAATTTCATGCACAACGTGGAGAGTATCGTTAACTTTAATATTAAGATGAAAATAACACATTTCGACTAAGAATTACAATTATAGTGATATTATATTTTATATTAATGAGTAATATCATGTGTTTTTCTTGAAAAACACGTCAAAAACATTAATTATCTACCAATCGTGAAGCAAAACAAAAGTGTCAAAACATTTACAAATGGCGTATGGCATTTGTTCTCTTGTTTTAAATACTTTTGCACTGACCACACGACTCTCGCGTCTTGTGTTACAGTGTGAGAATTTGTCTTGTGCAGAATAAATTCAAGACCGTGTCGTTTTTCATCAAATATTATTTATATGTGGTTAGCCATCATAATATGCATAAATTACTGTGATGTACAATAAATGTGTATGAATTTGAATTTTGTGATTGATTCTCATCCAATCAGCAGCCTTGTGATGAAGCTCTTGTTATCGTAAGTTTTCACTTAAGTAAGTTTAGTTACGATAGGTTTCTGTCAACGCTATTAACTTTTCTCTTAACATTAACATTAGTCTTAAAATTAATCGTAACTTTACGAAGTTTCGGACAATGGGCTCTTGGTGTTCAACAGAAATATTTTCATTGTGAATTTGTTAAAAGTTTAACAGGATTAGCAGTATAACACACATTCATGCAGTAGCGGATCTAGAGGGGGGTTCGTGGTGGGGTTGCACCCCCCCCCCCAATTTAACCACTGACTGATGTTATGATACTAGTAAAGTGAGGCAAAAAATAAAAAAGCCAGTCTGAAAGCTGAGAGAAACTGGGGTTTTCCCCTATGACTACACAGCTGCCTGAATTTTCTAGGTTGGAGGGGGGCATGCACTCGGACCAGCCTAGCACCGCGTGCCTTCAGCACACCTTTACTCAAATACTCCTGACATATATGTGTATATAAAACCCCAATTAATTGTGTATTATAATTACACTGGCATTTCAAGTTGACCTTACGTAGTAACACTCATTTTATTGGGAGCTCTGCGCTTAGGCTTGCCTATAGTATAATTATATTTTGTATGTGTGCTGGCATTTCAGACCAGATGTGTATCATAGGTTCACACATAAAGTAAAGATGCCACCTGGTTGGCTGCACCAGAGGATCAGCAGAACGCGGGCGGGCGAACTCTTGCTCGAAAACTCACTAGATGGCGCTTTTTTGGTTCGAAGCAGTGAGACTGTCGATAATGCATTTGTGCTCTGTGTCTTGTAAGTACCTAATGAACATTCATACGTGAATAGAATATAGAATACAAGTGGGTGACAGAGAGACAAGAACCAATGAATGTGAATAAAACAACACAAATTCAGTATTGTTTTTTTTTGTATTCGCCTGGCTCCCTTATTGGATGACTTTGCCGCATTTTATTTTAGTAAGGTTTATTATTCGTTTGGTACTAAATTTGTCACTAGTATGTTTATCATTAACTTCTTCATCTATTTGATATTTTTGTTTGTTACCATGCAGATTCGAAGGCACAATTCATCATTACAGGATATTTACTGATCCAAACGGTAGTCTGTCCATACAGGTAATAAAGCACTTATATAATTGACTACCTGTCCTTATGATTCATAGCATGTCATTCAAAGAAATTCCTTAGTTAAACATTGTGGTAATAGTTTTTTTGTCTGTTTGGTCACCATAAATTTCCAGAAAAAATGCAAAAGAAAACCCACCCAGTAAATTGCATATGTGCGAGTCTTTTATTATTTACTCTGACAGGTGCAAGAAGGAGCCATGGTAGTAAAGTATGACACTTTGGATGAGCTCATTCAAGGACACTCCAGGTTGAATAACGGCCTCATAACTATGCTGAGGTATCCTGTACTGGTGAGGGCCGCTACCACTGATGCTCCAACCAGCACAGTGACCCACACTAACCCCGTCATCACAGGTGGCGCTAGCGTTCCTGTCAGCTCAGCTGTCATCAAAGCTCCTACCAACAGTGAACCCAATGCTGGTGATGATTCTAGCGGTGAGTTCAAGCCTAGGAAAGCCATTCGTCATCAAAAATGTTGCGTATTTGGCACTGTTTGCTATTTTTACACGTGCAGACTCATGAGTACAAATGGTAGAAAATTGTACCTGATCATTAGCAGTTAATTAAAATGTTAAAAAACAACACCACAATCATGGCAACGTACTACATATTAATTTAATAGCAGGATAACTTGTACGTTATAGTAGAAGTTGTACTGGTGGTAGTAACAATACGAGTAAAGGACATTGGCTCTGTCAATCTGTGTTACCTGTGTTAAAATCCTAATATAGGTTTGCAGTGTAATATGTGTGTGAGTGGCATGCTCTGGCAGTGACTCATGTGTGTAATATCAGCACATCTTTTGCTTTTTCTAGACGAAGAAGTTATAGACGTGAAACGGTTTGCATCACCGTTGCAGACAAAGCTAAAACAGATGTCACCAGGGCGCTTGTATGTACCAAAACATATCTACACTTATTTTTATTAGGAGAGTGTAAATGAGGTTAAAGTACTCCAACTCTTGACACAACGATAATACCTCTACCACTGAATCCGCACTGTTGCATAGTACACAGTTTTCTGTGTTAGTAATATTCTGTTGTTGCCTACTCACAGGTATATTCCTACTATACTTTTACCAAGACTACTTCCTATTCGTAACTCACAATTGTGATGCAGATGTTCGTCACACCTATATCCACTGATACTAATATAACTTTGCGTTTTAGCAATGAAGAGCTGCATAACAAACTTGAGACGTACGTCTCCAATGGTGTCATGGCGGACGTCGAGGCAGTCAACAGTGGACAACCACACCTGCCTTTGCTCAGAAATGTTTTGTTTGATTCGGCTTCTTCTTTTGCAAGGTGAGCCTGCAGTAGCGGATCTAGAAGTGGGGTTGGAAGAGTTGCAACCCCCCACCCGATCATCCACTGACTAATGTTATGATACTAGTAAAATGGGGCCAAAAATAAAAAACTCAGTCTGCAGGCTGATAGAAACTGGGGATTTTCCCTGTGACCAGACAGCTGCCTGAACTGTCAGATCCTGAACACTGTCACATTGGGGGTGCACTAAATCCTATGCACCCATACATGTTCTTAAGGATACATCTTAGAATGCAGGAGAAAGCATCATATATTTCAAAATTTTCTACGCCTTCATTCAAATATCGACCCCCTTCTCATGAAAGCTAGATCTGCCCCTGGTCTGTTACATGCGTTGTAACGTCATTCGAGTTCAACTGTTTCGTACGAAGAGGTGTCATGCGTCGGGGGAAATGGAAATTCTCAAGTTTAGACACTATAAGACAATGTAAGCTACTAAAACTAAAGTCAATCTCTCCTGAAGTCTTATTTTGGATGAGAGTTGTGTACATGCTGGCATATATCTAGCATAAAATATGGGATCAAGGGATATTTATTAAAGGTGTGAATCGTACTCAACATATCAGGCTTTGTTAGTTATAGTGTGGGTTAATTATGCTAGTCTACTAGATATCATGTTTGACTGGAGTCATGTGATCCATTAGGGACTGATGGGACTGTTTAATGAACTACTAACGAAAAGTTGAGTTGAGGCATTTCTTGTGTCACATTCTGACGTGAAAATGTTTGAATTTTTTTTCATTACAGCGAAGCAGAAAGAAACTCTGTTTAATGACTGGACTGTTTAATGAACTACTAGCGAAAAGTCGAGTTGAGACAGTTCTTGTGTCATATTCTGATGTGGAAACGTTTGAATCTTATTTTCATTGCAGTGAAGCGGAAATCTTTCTGAAGACGCTGGACTCTCTTCGACAGCTATTTGATACCTCAGTGACGTCTAGTCATAAACAACAGTTACAGGTGATTATCAACATGATTGAGATTTAATAAACTTGTCATGTGTGTAATCATGTAGATTCTCCTAGTTAAACCTGTCATAGCAAGTGGCAGATGCTATTGTGACCAAAATTTGTGCCACGTAGCTACTTACAACACAATGACTTTCATTACTGCTTTATCCGTTATGCTCTATGCGTATTTAAAGTGCATCTTGAAATAATGCTTTTGATTGAAACAATTTTAACCAAATAATTTTTGTGGCAATTGATCTCTGATGTAAATATTCGTTTTTAAAAATTTAAAAATTATCTTGAACTGTGGAAGGTGTTCCATGTAGTTGTGATATCTGGCTTCTGCGGTAGTACGCAAGTCACTCTCCGGTAGGTCTATAGTTAAACCTATCACTCCGATGTGTACATTGTTGACCGTGTTCATTGTCGTGTAACTCGTTTGAACACACAGTCTTCACTGCAGAGATGTTCTTCGATGGAGGATTTGATGGCAAAACTAAAGGATTGCATAACCGGTGTCGGCGATCTGGAGAAGGAGGTGGTAAACTGGATGGTGTCGCAGGATGCCCTCTCCGTTACTTCATCAGAAGCATCTGTCTCACAAAGTAAGGCGACAAAATCAATTTTTGACTCCTAAACGCGCTCTCTCTCTCTCTCTCTCTCTCTCTCTCTCTCTCTCTCTTAGCTGCTGGAACTCCTAAATGCTAGGTCATTGCAATATACACTTAAACCCTCCAATGAGGGACATTCATGGAAAACTGCAATGCGTGATTTCTTGATAGGTGTCTATTCTGTAGAGATCAAGATCCTATTCAAGGGAAGCCTAAAGTGTCCTTTATAGAGAGATGTCAGTTCTGTAGAGATGGTTTCACTGTGTAACTACTACTCAAAGGAAGCCTAAAGTGTCCTTTATAGAAGGAAAGTTGGTTCTGTAGAGATGGTTTCACTGTGTAACTACTACTCAAGGGAAGCCTAAAGTGTCCTTTATAGAAGGAAAGTTGGTTTTGTAGAGATGGTTTCACTGTATAACTACTACTCAAGGGAAGCCTAAAGTGTCCTTTATAGAGAGATGTTGGTTCTGTAGAGGTGACATAGGTTTGACTGTAGTTGTGTGAGTGTATAGATGTCTACATTTATAACTGCTATGCTATTACTTGAGTGTGTGTGTCATTGTAACTGTCTCAGAGTAATTGCTTGTGTCTATATGTGGCTGTTGTTGTTGCTATGCTAGGGTGATTTGCGTGTGTGTGCAGGCACCAGCTCACGTGTATGTTTCAGTGTGGTGTATGTGTGCAATCGTATGTCAGTGTGGTGTATGTGTGGATACATATATGTCAGTGTAATGTATGTGTAGATACATATGACGTCAGTGTAATGTATGTGTGTATACGGTGTGTCAGTGTGTGTATGTGTGCAATCGTATATCAGTGTGGTGTATGTGTGGATACATATATGTCAGTGTAATGTATGTGTAGATACATATGACGTCAGTGTAATGTATGTGTGTATACGTGTGTCAGTGTGGTGTATGTGTGCAATCGTATGTCAGTGTGGTGTATGTGTGGATACATATATGTCAGTGTAATGTATGTGTAGATACATATGTCAGTGTAATGTATGTGTGTATACGTGTGTCAGTGTGGTGTATGTGTGCAATCATATGTCAGTGTGGTGTATGTGTGGATACATATACAGGGGTCGAAATTAGATTTTTATTATGGTATCCATTTGGGATACCAGGTATTGAAATCTGGATATGCCCCCAAAAATCTGGTAAATCGCCATGTTTTAGCTCACACTTGACATCGTCAGTTGAGCTATTGCCATGGGTCGTCATTCGCGTACGTCCGTGCCGTTCCGTCCGTCCGTGACCGTCAACATTTGGTTTCGCGTCAACGATAACTCAGGAACCCGTTTGACCCACATGTTTTGAAATTGGTGTAGTTGTTATGCTATCCTCGCCAATAATGGAAGGTCCTATTTTTAAGCCACGCCAAGTCGACGTACTTTTCGAGCCACGGGGGGGGCGGCAATTTTTTGAGCAAAAATCGGAATTGCCATTAGTCAGTTCAGGTTCAACGGATTTTGCTCATTTTTTGGTATGTGAAGTGAATAAGGGCTAAGGGTTTGATATTTAAAAAAAAATTATGCAATTAGGTAGGGTTTTGGCAATTGATATAGCATATTCAATCATAAACACAAACAGTTCGTGCGTTCACACTCGTCTGTTCGTTTTACAAGCATTTCATTGGACAATTATCTTTAATGCAAAATTGGTATTTCCTCTCCACTCTGCGATAAAACGTCCTATATAGAGTAAAGATTTACAAAAACGATGGTCGGAACGCAGCAATAACTATTTATTTCAAGCGGCCATCACTACAAAGCGCGGTATCGTCGCCATCTACGGTCCACAAATTGGTGAACATTTTGGTATTAAATTTTATTGCGATATATACAGATGGCTCGTTTCTATAATGTACTGTCGATGGTTTGCTCAATATAAAACTGACTTCTTCTTACCCACTCATTTGTGTCCTTTTTTGGGTGAGCTACAGTGTATTGACACTTTCATTGGATAGTACATTTCAACAATGTTGGTATGCCCAAAAGCTTGAAATATGCAATAATAGATTTGAAAACTATTAATTTTGTAATGTATTATTATAATAAAAACATGAAAACAGTTCACAGGTACCACAGACAAGTACACTGCAGAACGTATTGTCTCAGGATGGCATTGTCCTGGTTTGCTGATAAGCAATGTTATACACAATGACATTTATGACACATTGGCTACCCTTGACACTTGCGGCTTGCCAAATATGCCTCAACAACTCAACTACTCCGATTTGAGCGATTTTTTTTACTATCCCGGCGGATACCAAGCATTGAAATCTGCGTTATCCAACACAAGAATCTACTTATCCCAGCGGATTCGGGTCGCGCTAATTCGACCCCTGAATTATATGTCGGTGTAATGTATGTGTGTATACGTGTGTCAGTGTGGTGTATGTGTGCAATCGTATGTCAGTGTGGTGTATGTGTGGATACATATATGTCAGTGTAATGTATGTGTAGATACAGTATGACGTCAGTGTAAATGTTATGTGGTATACGTGTGTCGTGTGCGTGTATGTGTGCAATCGTATATCAGTGTGGTGTATCGGTGTGGATACATAGTAATGTCAGTGTAATGTATGTGTAGATACCATATGACGTCAGTGTAATGTATGTGTGTATACGTGTGTCAGTGATGGTGTATGTGTGCAATCGTATGTCAGTGTGGCCGTGTAATGTTGCTGGATACATATATGTCAGGTAGTAATGTATGTGTACGATACAA